GGGGGGGGGTGGATTGGATGCTGAGTGTGTCAAAACTGGCCAATCGGGGAAAAGGAGAGGGGCTCCTTGGGGCTGGACAGGGTGTCGGAGGAGGACCAGAAGCGCAGGCGGCTGGGCAGAGAGTGCCGGGGGGGGGACGTCCCAGAAGGCTTCATCCTCTCATGGCTCTTACTCTTCCGAAAGGGGAACCGTTTGGGTGCTGGAGCCATCGCACACCACGCCGAGACAGGTAGGGGAGAATGAGGGCAAATCACAGGTAGTCGGGTTAATGGTTAGATCTACCAGATACGACCCAAACAGCAGAACAGAGGAAGAGCAGAACGCTCCAATACTCAGCACCTGAAGTAAGACTAGCAGCAAAATCATCAAAACATACAGGAAAGAGGCAGCCTGTGGGGTAACGACCATGGTTAATGACATGGGATTCCATCGCCCTCTAGTGGATGAATGAGGTAGTTCCACAAACTTCCTTTTTCCAAGTTGGGTTCCGTGCACAAACAGCAATACTATCTTCTCTGAAAGTGTCATCCAGACCCGTTAAAAATTAAAACCCACAAGCTTAATACTCCCTTATTTGAAGCTTGCGTACATAATTGACGTACACAGTTTTACATCATTACCGAATGCGGCTGTCGATGCCACGCACGTTATGGCTGTAAGACACCTCTCCATTCAGCAGAATAAATATACACTTACGGAGCCCCAAACAGATGGCTGCCTGGAGCACAAGGCAAACCCACCCACACAAACTAAGGCTAAAGTCACACCATTACATGATCAGGCATTTAAAACCCCCCCGCAAGCTGCAGCCTGCCCGGTGTGCCCCCTACCTTTGGCATTGTGGTTAGGTGCAGCTGTGGGGGAGGCGATGCAATTCTCCACCAATGAATGGGAGGCCACAGACTCCAGACTAAGGCAGGACTGCCGGGGAGGCAGAGGTGGGGACGCCCCACCGGGACAGCCAGGGGACAAAGGCGGTGATAAGGACATTTCTGGGACATTCTGGGCACGTTCCTGTAGACTGTCCTTCCTCGGTTTCATTATTTTTACCAAGGCTTTTGCACTAATCCAGTGGTTCTTCCTGATGAAGTGAGAAGCGGGAGACATTAGCTTATTCTGCAGAACATCTGTCTCAGAAATATTTCATGCAGAAATCTCAATATTGCCCAAATGGAAAACTCACTTTTTTGGAATTGGATCGTAGAATCTGTACTGTTCCATAATCTTCTCCTCCAGCTTTTCCTTCTGACGCCGAAGTGTGTTCAGTTTGTCACTGAAGGGAGGGATTACAAAACACTGTCGCATTTTTGTACTGATCACAGATAAATCCAGGGACTGGACCATCACACCTACACACACTGTTCTGGAATAAAACCAGGGACTGGACCCTCACACCTACATGTACTGTTTCTGTTCCTCATGGTACAGCTCCTTGCTCTCAATGCTCTGCTCCAGTAGGGCCTGATTCCGTTGGCCCAGGACCTGGATCTGCCCCATCAAGTGGTGGTTCTCCTCTTCGAGGTTCCCCTTCAGACGAGTCAACAGCTTTGGGATGGGGGGGTGGAAGAAGGGTGCTAGTTATGATTTTGTCTGTAAATTTCACCCCAACACAAGACAAGGAGTGGATGAGACATGCTGCTGTATCTCTGAGCAGGTTACGAATCACGTCAGGGGGAATAGGAATAAGGGAAAAAAAGCCCAAAAATGCACTTTTGCAAGGAAATATCACGTTCAAACTGAAATTAAATCAAGCGTTATCATCAGAGGTAAGTTTTTCTTCTGGGAAAGGTGAAGTAATCAGCCAATCCTGGGATCTGGCGCCCTCTGGTGATGCGAAGAGGATGTGCTTTAGATAGTTGGGTACAAGAGTATACAGGGTTTTTCCTGCATTGAGAATTACGAGACGGCTGCCTCCGTCGAATTTCGTGCCGCCTCCAGTTCTCGGAAAAATTCTGGTGGGTATCATAATGGAAAATCTACTTTCTAAGAAGCGCTGCACTCAATAGATGTCTGTCATTTGTAACTGCAATTTCGGCGTTCTTGACCAGGACCACACCCCTAAATGTATTGAAGCAACTGCCATGTGATTGGTTGATTAGATAATTGCATTAATGAGAAATTGAACAGGTGTTCCTAATAATCCTATAGGTGAGTGTATTTCGCATCCAGGCCTGTCCATTTCTTAAAAAGGTTTCCTAAAGAACATCTGATAAGAGTGCTTTGCAGATATGGCTCGTAGGGTCTGCGACTACTTTACTAAACGAGTTCGTGAGGAGGAGAATCGTGAGGGCAGGTGAAACAGTGCAGACTTCATCTGACGGGCAATTATAAAGTTATAATTCATGTTACTGATTTGTGCAAGAGACGAGTCAATTCGAGGGTATTCAGCTGTCAAGTCATTAGTAGTGTTTTAACACAAAGTCTACCAGGAGTGCATGAACAAGTTTTATAAAATGAAAATGTAACTGACATTAACCTGTCAGTCGAATTTTTACGTGTTTATTATAGGGCACCCTAATTAAACGGAACCAAATAGTAGCGCAGAACTGTTGTTCAGACGTTCCCTATTATTGAGGTAACCTAGACGGAAGCACGTGTTTCCCATGTTCAGTTTGCTAATGGATCCAGGTTCGTGTGTTTGTCATCTAAGGATAAAGGTAACAGATGATTTTAAAATAAAGGTTAAATCCCTTCCATAAACAGCCAACAAGTTCCCAAGTGTGATACGTTTATTAAACATAAGGATATGCTGACTTTATACTGATTACTGACTTTTTGGCATCATAAAATGCATCATTAATATTTTAGCTGTACTACTAATCAGACTAACATGAACAAATGACCAAATGTTTCATCCGTCATCTGAAGCCCTGCTGATTATTGCGCATGTGCGATACAACATCAATATGCTAATCGCCAGCCCTGTGGTGCAATATAGTTAAAAGCACAGCATCGGGCCGCACCTCACACTGGTTCTCCAGCTTGGTGAAGGAGATGTCCAGGCCTTGGTGCTGCTCCTTCAGCTGGTCATATCGTGCCCGCCAGCTGTTCAGCTCCAGCTGTGTCTCTTTCAGGGATGTCTTGAGCTCCTTCAAGTGCTGCTGCAAGATGGTATACTCCTGCCCCAGATGGGAGTGTGTCTGCGTCAGCCTGTAGGGGGCAGCAGGGAAATGGTCAGACAGAGGGCCATGTGACCTAAAGGAACCCTTTATGCTTAAAGAGAGGCATGGCGGAGTAGAATGCAAGGGTGACTATTTCAGAACACTGGTCTTTGAGTTTCATATTTCCCTATCATAAAACAAACTATTTAGCATATTATATACTAAATAAAACTGCAGCCACTTCTTTACACAGCCTCCCAGCACAGAGTGAATAAGTAACCAATCAAAGCCCACTGCCCAAGTCACATGGGTGAAAACGTAATGAGTGCATAATTCTTGCTTGTGTTCTGTTAGCAGAGATGAAAATTGTCCATAAAAATATTATCCCGACTTTCAGGAATCACACATTTCATTGATATATTCTGACCTTACAGTTCATTGTCTTTTCTGTGTGGTTCTTAGAGAAAATCTTAATTGGCCAATGAAACTGATTCGAACTCCTGACCATGCGATGCAAATACCACCTATAGCCAGTAGAGGGAACTATTGTCTCAGTTAAAATTGTATGAAACCTGAATGAAAACCACTAACTGTCCGCTAGAAATCTTACAATTTCTTGCCGCTGTTTATGCAGATGTTTGTTGAAGATTTGTTAAATACCCAAGTAACTAAAGTAAGTTTTGAAAGAAACCACGACAGCGGCAATAAGACCAAAGTGGTTATCATCAGTCATTACTGCCCCTCAGGGCCACAGAGCGCCTCAATATGGGACATATTCTGCAGAGATTTGGGGACGATGCCAGCTGCTGCCTGCTCACCGCTCCACCTCTGCTCTGAGGTTCTGGTTGTCCCCTTGGACCAGTGCATTCTTGCGAATCTCCTCCCCCAGGCTCTCCCGCTCCTGCCGCAGGGCAGCCTCCAGCTCCTCCATGGCCCCCTGCTGTGTCTGCAGCTCTCCATACCTGGGAGGCGGGTCAAAGGAGTCAAAAGTCACGGGGGGTGATGTCATTCAGCCACTCATCTGCACCTCCAAAGAGAAACACTGGTAAGTCACACGATAAAGAATTAAAAAAAAAAAAAAATAGATTCAAATTAATTGAATACTCCAGAGTGTCTCTTTCCCCATGGTTGGTTGGGGGGGGGGGTTCATCTCCAACAGACCACAAACACTGAGCCCTTAATTATTAACGACTGAAAGAGGAGCCACACCTCAAAGCATGTGGATATGTGGGGGGGGGGG